GTAACTTACTGTCTATACAATTTCCAACATCTCTATATAAGGTCGTTAACAACATGGTGGATTTGAACCTAAAAAATAGTTTTGATTTCTAGCCTACATATCGTGTCTAGAACTTTTCGATTCACAGCCCACTGCAGGTCACACTCGGCTGTGTAAGTACAAGAAAATTTGTTCTATTTGATATATTTTTCTCGTGGTATATGCCTTGCAAGATACTATTCAAAGTAAATACTTATATCCAAAAAAATAAGGATATTTATATGTATTCCTTATATAAATATTAGCGGAATGTTGGAGGGCTTATAACGCTAAAAATGTACTTTCGTTAGCCGCGGTCGGCAGATCCTAGACAGCCCATTGTGTAGCTTTGCGCTTAACAACAAAGAAACAAATTCGTAAGTTCCACTGTTCCTCCTCCAAGGTATATGCTGATTCTGCGAAGCCTAATCACCAGGGGAAATTAAAAACCTCAAACGACAAATATTTCAGTTGAATAAAACAGCTCTATAGCCTCTGCACTTTATCTTATTTTACATCACAAACAAATATGTTTCAGAATTGAACATAAGTATATATGGTTTGAGGAGATTAATGTCAGGATTGCGTGTGTACAACTTTTAGACTCATAATTCTTTTTCGTTTCCACGTCGGTTGGCGATTTGATGTGTCACTACAATTGTTATTTGCAAAATAAATGTTTCAGAGGCGATTAAGTATCACGTGAGATTTCACATAACATCGGACTGTTTATTGCATCGACTTAGTTAGATGTTATCGTGATGTCTACAACTAATATAGTCAAAAACAAAATAATTAATATTATTTTGAATGTATAACATAGGGCACCACATGTATACTATATTATATGCTGGCGCCCGAAAGTAGTTGTTTTGTTGTTTATTGAATTTCACGCAAAGCTACACAAGGAGCATATGTCCCTAATTTTGAACCGATAGCCAGAAGAAAGGCAGCTAGTAAATAGTGCCCACCGCCAACCCTTGGGATGTTCTTGACCATCACTCTTTTAAACGTATACACGGCCCCAAAATTCTACCTCTTTCGCAAAGTTGGGCCGTACATTCTACGGCGGATACTAATCTTTTTCCTGTATCTCTGCAGAGACGTATGCCCATTGGCTACGCGTATAAATGTCTTCTAGAA